GAACATCCATTACTGAGCGTCTTAGGTCAGACGATACGATTATCGAATCGATCATCGACTTCTGTGCACATTTCATACATATGACATTGAATTCGACGTTACTTAGATAACGACGTAGCGATGAAAAATAGATGTAGATGTACTTACAAGGACGTACAATAGATGTAGATGTATTTACATTTGCATATAGATGTATTTATAAGGCAAAGATATAGGGTGACTTCTGATATTTTCAGATTGGAGGTGAATATCGTCTTTTGATGAAAGGGATAATGTGGCGAACAGTAGTGTCGTAATCATTGTTTTTGAGTAAGTGAGCGATTCTGGGCTTCAGCTTTACATACCGCTGTGCGACTGCAATAAGATATCGTTGTTTTACGCAAGTTTATGACAATATTATTGAAGCATGATCAAACGAAAGAAGCGACTTATATTCCATTCCTTGAGGAAAACATTGAGAGAGAATTAGTCATCAAGTGGTGTTTCTTTTACGTTGAAATTCTGATAATAACTGAGGTCATTTCGTTTTTCTTCTCTGTTACGACAGTAAACTCTGTCCCTTTGTCATTGTCACAGCCGTTAAAAAACAATGAAGCAAAGGAGAAGAGCAAGAAGAAAAAGAAAATGAGAATGAGAAACAAGAAGAAAACAATAAACTGACTAAAGGTGAGGCAAAAAAACCGTTAACATAATTCCAACTAGAAAAAAAAGAGATATAAAACGGACAGATGCTAAAATCGAAGTTAGCAGGCAAGAGGCATAACATATTTAAATACAACATAGTCCTGAACGTTACATTTTTGTCGTTTGAATTATTTTTAACATGAATTAATGATTATAATGGTAGGCATGCGGAAGTTAAGGTATGTCATGAATTTGTCGAGACTCTCGCAATGCATAGGAGATAAACAACATCATCAACAGAGCTCTAAGACAGTTCTTAGCGATAAATTCTATCATCGGTACATTCTTTTTTCCGACAGCAACGCAGAACATGAAGCATATGCTCGAACAGTATTCTAGTAGAATTTGATAGTTGCATACTTGGCAAAAAATGACTAAAGATGCTGTGAAGCAACTCAATGAACTGTTTTTAAAAAATCTGAATTTTTTGAATAATAAACTCTAATTACGTCAACCTTTCATATCCCTATTTCAGTTATAATGCATATTTTGTCATTTTATTCATCAAATGTACATTTAAGTGTGATTTAAGGTGAAACTAGTAAATCGATTTAGCTAAAGACTGACATTAGTTGGCAGCTACAGAGAATAAAATATGTTATTATATCGAATTGATGGGCAAAACGTCACGGCTATAGTACGCTAAATATTTCTACGGAGAGTGCGACTTTGCCTAAAGTACATTTATCCGCTAATATCTCTGTGCTTTTTCTCATTATTACCTTGGTAATGAAAAAGCAATAAGATCAATCCGTATATTTTACCCGAAACGTTCCTCTGTTAAGAGGCTTATGCTAATTTTGGCACCTCAAGCTAAGGGAATAGAAAACTTTCTTTATTGACGGTATGGTATCATTCTCAATGCACTGAATCACTGGTGTGAACTTTCTCAAAAGAACGCTTCATTAAAAAGAAATTCTTGACGCACCTACTCAGTCCGCTGGATACGCCGTTGATGATAAAACTGCATACGACATTGAACTCCTTCTCACGGCAGGGAAGCTGATCAGGAATGGAGGACGCCTGCAACCGCTGGCGAATATGATCGATGTCGGTGAGTCTCGAGTTCTTGCCCTTGAACTTTTTCGTCTCGTTCTTGTCATCTTTGTCCTCGTTGTCGCTGTCACTTTTCGCCCGTATGCATGTGAATCGCTGGTTCTTGAACTCTGTGACAGACGTCACGTTATTCTTACCTCGGTTACGTTTCGACTTCGACTGGTTCTGGTTATTGTCGATCTCGTTTCGAACGGCGATGGTTCTGCTTCTTAAGCACTGCGATTTTGTATATATGCCGTTTGTGATATCAGAGGCATCAGAAGAGTGCTCTGCGGATTTGCATAACATTATATCATTCAGCTTAATCTCCAGGGGACGAATTTTTATCCTGGACAGAGTGTTGACGCACTTCTGTGAATTTGAAGCCACTGGTCTCAGACAGGAAAATTGTTTCTTGTCAGTTGATCTGTTTATCAGATCCGCAATGTCGTCATCGTCCATACTTTCGTCACTCGAATCCAGTCCTGCAACAATGTTGTTGGAGGTTGAATAACCGTTTGTCATTGAATTCTTGATTAGGGATACTTGAGGCTTCGATACAGACAATCGATACCCGTTCCGCACGCCATCCTTCTTGCTGCGCAGTTCAAAATGTTTCGAAATGTCTGCATTTCGAGGAGCCATACTTTTTTTATCAAACGCCTCTGTCGCGTGTAGCAATTCCGGCTCGTCATCAGACTCTTCTGCTGATGTGTCAAAGACGCAGAGAGCATCTCCAGATGAACAACGGCCGCCACGTTTCATGTAACTGAAATTCGACACACACTTCCACACGGACTTACATGCATTACAATGACCGCATGCTTTTAGTACATCGACGAGAACGACCGTGCAGGGCTTTGTAACAGGCGTTTTCTCCTTCTTCTGAAAAAAATCTTATGAATCACATAACATATCATTAACATACGAAGCATATTAATAGAATATATACAAAATCTGGGCTATAAGTAAGTTCATGGACCAGCTATATTTATATTATCATACTGAAAGAAAAGGAAGAGAAATTAATAACTGTTCGAATATCGTTCTTCAAAGCAGAGTCGACAGTAGCCATGTCGCAAGCTTCTGTTTC